TCACCTGTTTCATGTTATTTTTTATAATATGTCTACTAGAAAATTTTAAATTATTTTCTGTGACTTGCATTACCTTTCCATAGGACAGCACTGGTTTGAGGACATCCACAGATAATTAAGCCAGAATGACGTGTAATATAAAGATCACTTAGCCTCTCAACTTATTTTTCAACCTATTATAATCTAGGTTTTTCTCTCACGGTTTTACTAAGAATTACTTCTTCAGAAGTCTTTCAGAGGTGGTTTATTTGCTGTATTCAGTGGCCTCTTCTTGGTCCTCATTCTTCCCCGTGTCCTGTTTGACCCTTTCCTTCCTGACTTTCTTACTACAACATGGTGCCTAGGTCCTTAGCCTCACTTCTCAGACTATTTCTGAGCGCCCTCGTCACTCTTGTTGCTTTCCGTTATAGATATAGTTACCGGCCAAAACTCATCTTGGCCACTTCTCTTCCTCTCGTTTACTTCCATGGTTTTAGTCTTGCCTCTGTGTCCTTGTCCTCCAGAGCAGTATCCTCAGCCTTGTATTCTCTCCAGACTGAATTTCCAACTGTCCTGGGCGGTTCTGCAGGCACCTCAGATTCTGGGTCTGAGAATCAGAATTGAACCAATGGTCTTCGCTTGCTGACCTGACTGTATTAGTCAGTGATGAAAGCACCTTATTGTTCCTGCTTCTACAAAGCATCAGTCACAGTGGGCTGTGGATTTTGCCACTGTAATGTGTAACGTGTCGTCTTCTTTTTTTTTTTATTCCATGCTTCATCATAGCTTCCGCACTCTGTCTCTCTCTCCCTTTCAAGACTTTAAAAACAGGGTAGAGGCACATTCTTCAAAGACCTGTTCTTGTATTTGATAACCCCTCGCACACATCATGCTGTATATTAGCTCACCTGTGTATACTTTGGCGTGTGGCCTGTTCTTTCCCTGGAATGTCCTCTTGTCCTCCCCTCTGGTCTGCCTTCTGCCAGTTCTTCCAGAATGGCTCACAAAGCCCTCCGATTCCCGTTCCTCCCCCCCCATTTGCTTACCAGTCTTGTGCCTGCCACCCCACTTGTCCCTTCCACCTTCGTGCTGTCCTCCAGTTTGCAGTTCCTCCACTCGTAGCTTGTCCTTGCCTCTGGCGAGGTCTTTCCTCTCTCTGGGATGCTCCCTGCCCACCCCAGCCCCAAAGTATTCTGCCGTGACTGGCTCCTTCATGGCTCCAATACCGCCTCCTCAGAGGAACCTTCCCTGACTACGGTGAACATGACACACACATGCACACAGACGACACCCAGCAGACACTCTCTCATCCATTTCCCTACTCCCAGTTCTCCTTAGTGCTTCAGAGCACCCGAGGAGTTACTACTTATTCGCACTTGCTTGTCCCCATGGGAATGTAAGGCTCCAAAAAGAACATGGGACTTAACGTCTTCTTTTCTGTTATTTTCCCAGTAGGCAGTCAATACAATTTTTTTGAATAAGCGACAGAAACCTTTCTCTTCTCCAGGGCCTGCTCACTCTCCTCCTGTATAATTCTCCAAGGCTGCATTATTCCCTCTTATTTATTGATTGCCTGAGTGCTTTGTCCACGGCAGCACTTGTCGAGCCTGATGGTCCTCCCCTCTGTTTTCTCTTCTGATGACGAACTGTCACTAGAGACTTGTGGTTGCTCCGATTTACAGTGCCTCCACTGCGGACACGAAGTAGACATTTTAGGATTCTTTTTTATAGTCAGTTATGTCCCTTCCATTCAAGCAGCACCTTCTGTGTGCCTCCTGTGGGCTGGCCCTGATCCCGGTGCTGTCACCGTGCCCAGTGCTGTGTGACGCGTGGAGCCACAGTCTTCCTTCTGTGTGTCTGAATCCAGACTTTGGGCAGCCTACAAGCGTTTTCATAATAGAGAAGAGCAGGATGGATGGTTGGGTTGACAGTAACCCTTTTAAAAGAGAGGGACCACCTAGACCTCAACTTCCTGTTTCATATTGCAGCTCTTCACTGTTGAACGTTGTTAGAAGCTTCTTCACTGCCATCCTAGGTCTTCTCAGCAAGCTGACTGTAGGCGAAGAAGAATGGGGGAAAGAGTACACAAAGATAACTGTTGTGAGAGAGCGAGCATGGCAGGTAGGAGAGACTGAACAGTGTCTGCTGAGACGGTCTCCACTGTCGCCGAGCCAAGGGGAACAGGTTTATGATGAGTCTGAAGAGCCAGGCAGGAGCTCGAACCAGCCGGGGTTTGTATGCCCCGTTAAGGTGTTTGGAAGTTAAGACTAATGGGAAGCTACTGAAGGGTTTAGGCAGGGGGGTGACAGATCGGATTTATATGGTGCAAAAGATCCTTCTGTCTACAGTATGGGCAAAATAGAGCCTAGCAAACCATTTAGAGGCTGTGGCAATTGAGCACAAAACTGATGGTACCTTGAATGGGTGTTCTATAGTTGGAGAGAAATAAAGTCTAGAAATGCTTACATTTGTGATTTAAACTCAGTAGGATGTAGTGAAACCTTAGCTAAATGAGGAGAAAGTGGGGAGAGAGGAATGACCAAGGTGATTCTTGGTGTTTTCTTCTACCTTGCTGGGTGAGAGTGGCATTCCCTGAGGTGACAGTCATTGGCATACGGGGAATCTGATTCGGGAGGGAAAATAGTCTGGTTTGGGCATGCTGAATTTGAGTAGCTGTGAGACATCAAAGGGGAGAGGTTAGGTAAGCAGTTGGTTGAAGAGGTCTGAGCCAGAGATAAAAATCTGTGACTCATAATGTCTAGGTGATAATTAAGTCCTGGGTGCAGATACACTGTGTCAGGTGAGAGTGTGGCGTGTAAAGAGTGAAGAGCCTCAAGATCAGGCCGTGGGAAACCCACTGAGTGGGCCTGCTAAAGGAAGATGAACCAACAAAGGAGACAGAAGCAGTAGCCAGAGAGTTAGGAGGAAAACCAGGATAGTGGTTTGTTGTGGAAGCCAAGAGAAAAAGCGTCTATAAACAAGGAATGAGCAGCCACAGTGTCAGGCACTGCTAAGGTGGTGGTCGGGAAAGCGTGGAATCAGGTCATTAGATCGCAGTGACCTAGTGACCTGCGGCAGAGGGAGGAGGAGACAGAAGTCAGATGGAGGGGTTGGATATGCGTGGAAGGAAAGGCAGTGCTAGCGTTCATTGTAAACCTCTGGCGGGAGAACCACAGTGTGACGGAGGGGACAGGAAGATACAATAACCCAACAGTGGAACAGGTCTGTCATGTACAAGATGTTGTGGAGTAGAGAGAGGGGGCAGGCATCAGACCCTCCCTGGAGGGCCAGAGGGGGCGTCACAGAAGGCTTTCTTGAGGCACCAGTGCTTTGTTGAGACCTGCCGTGGATGGAGTGAACGATGAAACTAAATTTGCCAGGCAGAGAAGGGGAGAGGGCTTCCTGAGCAGAGGGAATACAGAAGGCAAAGGTGTGAGACATGGGCGTGCATGTCTTGTGTAGGGATTATAGCTTGTTGGAATTGGAACGCAGATTGCCTGTGGGATGGGGGCAGGAGGTTAATCGTGAAGAGGAGGCGGAAGCCAGATCATAAAACACCTGGGGTGCTGTAGTGAGGTATTTATACTTTATTGGTACCAGTGGTTCTCAGTTTATCTTTGGAAATATTCTTAATGGCAGAAGACAGTAAGTACAGACCCTTTCTGAAGCAACATAAACTTTTCTTTCAAAGGTCATTTTATTTTAAAAAATGGAAATGAATTTTATATTCTAGTGCATAATATATGTTTGACTTTTTATGTAAAAGTGCCTTAGGTTATTTGGGTAAAAGAAAAAAATGACCCCAGGAAGATGAACCTTATTGATTCTGTGGCCTTGGGTAGCTCTCTCTTGGCCTGTCCTCAGATACGTCCCATTTGAGAGTGTGTCCATTGGTGAGGATCATCATCAGACTTACATTATGGCAAGATCACTGTACAGTGAAGGGTGGGTTGAAGGTGGGGGAAAACTAGAGGCAGGAGGGTAGTGGTCCAGGTAAGAAATGATGAAAGCCCAAACTTGAAGCAGTGGGGGTTTTGAGATTTAGGACATAGCATTGGCATGCCGGTGACTTCACTAGGTTGAGACATGGTTGAAAAGGAAGGAGACAGAATACTTTAGGAGGATTCCCCCCAGTGCCTGACCTGGGCATTGACATTGGGAGTATAGAAGGAGAGGCGTGGGGTCGGTGGGGTCGAAGGAAGAGCCCTTGCCTGAGCTGTTTACTGAACTGATGGCCTTGCTCATTAGTGGGAGTTGAAAGTGTGGCCCATTTCAGCCAAATGAAAAGATCTGATTTTAATTGGATCTATGAGTCAGCGAAGGGCTCAGGATGGAAGTCATCAGCAAGTAAGTGGTGGTTGAAGCTTTGATAGTAGATGAGATAGTAGAGGGCCAGCCAGCGAGAGATCTGGGGTCACAGCAATATTTAAAAGGAGGGAAAAAGGAAAAAAATCTCGAGAAAATGGTGAGAGAGCTCTCGAGGAGGAAAGTATCCAAGAGCACATAGAAGGGTGGTTTGCCAGGCCAAATTATACAGCAGTCAGTGCCTACAAAATGGTGCCTTGAAAGACATTCATTAGATTTGGTGGGTCTTTGATTATTAAAGATTTTGCGATCTTATTGAGAACAGCTAGATCTAAGAGAGGGGGCAAAATCCAGATTCAGCTGCACTGAGAAGTGCTCGCAAGTGTACAAGACCGTGCCTTCTAGAAGCTGAGCTTTGAGGGAGTAGCAGGGAGTGAGTGTGTTGGCTAGAAAGAAATGCAGAGTCTTAGAGGATATTTTTGTATGAGTGGCTTGGTTTTGTTTTTAAGATGGGGTAGATGCACATTTCTGTGCTGAGCAGGAGCCAGTATAAGGGAAGAGACTGTGTAAGGCCTGTTGCCTTACACATCGTAAATATATTGTAAAAATATTTGTTTAATGAATGACTGCTTACTGTTAAATTTGTCAATCTTAGTTTCACAGGCAAGCTGTATGTGTTTTAAGGGCTACTTGCTCTTTCTGTATTATTTTTTTAGCCTCAGAATATTCTGCTGACAAGTGAATCTCCACTGGGTGACATTAAGATAGTTGATTTTGGTCTTTCAAGAATAATGAAGAACAGTGAAGAGCTCCGAGAAATTATGGGTACTCCTGAATATGTGGGTAAGTACTCGTAAGAGTGGGTTATGTTCTGTGTTTGGGGTCAAGCATCGTCTTCGTTAGGGAACTCACCTGTGGCGTGGGAATAGTGGGGCCAGCCATCTGCTGTGTTAAAATTCTGCCATCAGAGAGCCCTTCTTTTGTATAAAAATTTAAAAATGGTGTGGCGCCTGGGTGGCTCGGTCGTTAAGCGTCTGCCTTCGGCTCAGGTCATGGTCCCAGGGTCCTGGGATCGAGCCCCACATCGGGCTCCCTGCTCAGCGGAGAGCCTGCTTCTCCCTCTCCCTCTGCCTGCTGCTCACCCTGCTTGTGCTCTCTCTCTCTCACTATCTCTCTCTGTGTCAAATGAATAAATAAAAAAAAAAATAAATAAAAAAAAAAATAAATAAAAATTTAAAAATGGTTAACATTAAAGAGTAAAGTACCAAACTGATGATCCCTTTCCTGAAGGGAATCAAGAGAATTTGAAGGGATTGCTTCTAAGAGGAATCAAAGAGGATTTTCCTTAACAAAGTGTAGGATACCAGGTTATCTGAAGGTGGGAGGATATTTAACAAGTAAGGACCTCTGAAGAACTTTAAGTTCATCATAAACATTGTTAAAGTAATGGCAAGCCCTGTGAAACATAGGGCATTCTGTTGGATTAATGCAAGGTTGGGAGCTTCTGGAAGAAAGAAAAAAGCGCTAAGCCTTGAAGGTACTAGTAAAAGAGCAGCTGAAGTGATGAACCGTGGCTTTTAGGTTTGGTACAAAAATAAGTAAACCATGACTTTTTTGATAGACCGGAAGAACAATAGGATGCTAAGGGATTCGTGGCCTGAATGAGGTTTAAAAAAAAAAAAAAAGAAAAGATAATCCATCTGTAAGCAGAACAAGGCGGTGAAATAATCTAAAGGCTGTGACCAGGAGTTTACAATATTAACATTTAAAATTTCAGAGATGAAACAGTTCTTCGTAATTAGTAGGCCTGCGATGTAGCTGTGGAAGGGCTGTGTAGACCTGTAGGTCCAGAAGCGCGGACGCCAGGCTGCCCGGGTCATAGACACGAGTGTGGACATTGTCCAGGGGGCGGCAGGCGGGTGAGGAGGCTGTAGAGAAGGCCTGGGCCCCAAGGGAAGAATATTTACCTGAGGTTAGAGGTGTGAAGTGGACGGACAGGCTGTCTGCATTCTAGACTAGGGCGTGCGGCAGCCTCGGCCTCCTTTCAGAGGGGAGACGGGACTGGGGCAGCTCTGGTGGGACTTCGTTTACAAGGGAGAGTCAATTCCAGGGGACAGATAGGGTTGAGGAAAACAAAGCTGTTCGGCAGTGAGGGGACAAAATCTAACTCAAAGCTTTTAAAGTAAGTCCTACGATTTGAAACAGATCCTTAATTAGGTAATAAAAGATAGCACGGTGGGCAGGAAAACCACCTTCAAAACGTTGATGCGCTTTTCGTGGGCTAGAATACTTAAATTTCAGTGCGCGTCATGACCACTCAGTAAGCTTTGAGGATGGGGCTTAACGGGGCCTCCTCTTGGAAAGCCCGGGTCCTTCAGCCGGTCGCTTGAGAGCTTTGTCAACGAGAGGGAAAGCGGAATGATGGGCTGTGAGTTGAGAACCCTATAGGAGTTATTGCCCTGAAGGAGTTTTGTTATGTTTTATGCTTTCTATTCTCTGGGTAAATTCTGTTTTCTACCAAGAACTTTATATTTTCCCTCCAAAAAACAGAACTATCTTTATTATAAAAGTAATTCCCAATCCAAGAAAACTAAAAATAATTCAGAACTATATAATAGAGAAAAAGGGGCCTCTCCTCTCATTCTTTCCTGCACTTGCAGAGGTGAGTGTAAGCCTCGCAGCTTGTTTTCCTCACAGAATCATCTGTCTGGGCTCCGTCTGCTTCCTCTGCCAACTGTGCATGTGACCTCAGTCCCGAAATCTCTTTATACCTCCCATTCCTCTGTCCCTAAAATGGGGCTGTCATAGTACTGCTTTACTGGATTTGCTCTGTCAAGCTCTTAGATCCATGTTCAGCTTATAATAAACACAGGAAAGGAAGCTACTGTTACTTCCTGCTCCCTCCTCCCAGCATCTTTTACTCTTTGGTCTCTTATTTCACTTTCTCCTCGAGTAGTTTGGGTGCTGTGCATTTCATTTTAAATTTCCTAGTAGTTTCTTTTAAAACCTTAGAATGATGTTCATAACCTCTGTTTCACAACTCAGTATCAGAGGTTGAAGTTGAGGAAATTAGCCTACCTAGCATTTTCTCCCAACCTTTTCTTCCTCATATTGTGTGTCGTGTGTTGGGGGGGGGGTCCCCAACCAGTGTTGAGTATGTGACTCGAGTGTTTTGTTTTTTCTTAGGATTAGAACATCTTCATCCCCCCCCTTTTTTTTTAATTACCACAGTTGTTTAGTCTTTGATCTGTTTTTAAATGGATTCAATACTTGATTGCCTGTCTTTTCTTCCTACTTTTGAAAAAACTCATTTGGTTGACTGGATTGTATCAATGAGTGAGTTTTTCTTTCAAGGAGGATTTTCGTGAATTTCTCCTAAGTTCTTGCACATTTGAGAATGCCTTTTGTATTGCTTTATGTGTGACAGCAGTTTAGTTAAATGTTATCAAAGCATGCTGTTTTTCAGGACTCTACAGAGGCAACTTTGTTGTCTTTGTGTATAGTGCATGTCAAATGAGAATGCTGTTTTTCTTTAACCCTGTTGACGGACTTTCTATCAGTGGGCAGACATTTTAATAAGCCCCCTCTGGCTCCAGTATGGAGAACAGATCAGGGAGGTGGAATGAGTGGAGGTCAGGAGGGGAAGGTGCCACGGACTCGGTGGGGGCGGTAGGGAAGCAGAGTCGTGGATGGCATCGAGAAAGATTTAAAAGCAGTAATCTGTTAGATAGGATGCTTGATTTTAGCGGGTATGGGAAGAGGAAGGTGTCACAGTTGTCAGTTTCTATTACAGCACTTAAGCATTCAGATATTTTTTAAAATATTAAGACCCAACAATGGAGGGTGCTGGTGGGAAAATAAGTTAATTACATCTAGTCAGACTTTACAGTAATTCATAATAACTTATGTAAATGTTATTTCACGTTAGCCCAAATCTTGATGGTGTCTTAATAGAGTTTCTGATGAGTATTTTAAAAAAATACTCATTTCAAAGAGCAAATTAGGAATTTTTTTTCACACAGCTGAATGTTTTCTTGTTTCTAATACTAGCTCCCGAGATTCTTAGTTATGATCCTATCAGCATGGCGACGGATATGTGGTAAGTTACTTACGAAAAATTGATCAGATGGGTTTCAAGAAATGAGTATGATACTAATTTTTCTTACATTTTCATTCTAATTTAGGAGCATTGGAGTGCTAACATATGTCATGCTCACTGGAGTGTCACCTTTCTTAGGTGATAATAAACAAGAAACATTCCTAAACATCTCTCGGATGAGTTTAAGTTATTCTGAGGAAGAGTTTGATGTTGTGTCTGAGTCAGCTGTTGACTTCATCAAGACACTTTTAGTTAAGAAACCTGAGTAAGTATTTAGTTAATATTGATCTTTGTCAATTTTTGAGTGATCTGCTCTGAACAAAAGCAGGTTAAACTGAAACACCAAAATGAAGGCAGGAAAATGTAGCCATTAAACTAGATGAAACCTTGAGCTTATTATATCTGTTGAAAGAAAATGTCAAAAATGAAAACGTTTCTTAGAAAACAGTGAGCTGCATCTCAGTCTGACAGATACTGTCTATCTGTTTTTGGTCTTCCAAAAGGGCTTTTCAGAGATATCTTACTTAAAAGTATTGTTCAACATTGTGGGAATGGCATTTGCACACAAATGCCAAAACTTCTAGTCTTATTCCGGGATCACAATAAGATTCTTGTCAACTCTTCATACTTCCCCAAATATAATACAATAAATATACCTTATGCTCTAACTTACATATTTTTAAGATTTTATTTTTTAAGTAATGTCTACAACCCAGTATGGGGCTCAAACTCAACCCTGAGATCAAGAGTCGCACGCTCTCCCGACAGCCAGCCAGGTGTCCCCCAATATGCTCTAATTTATAATTGAAGTTTTATTTTTTATTTTTATTTTTTTAAGATTGTATTTATTTGAGAAAGAGAGAGAACGAGTCGAGGGCAGAGGCAGAGGGAGGAGCAGACTCCCCGCTGAGCAGGGAGCCCAATGAGGGGCTCCATCCCGGGACCCTGAGATCATGACCTGAGCCGAAGGCAGACGCTTACCTGAGCCACCCAGGCGCCTCTGTAATTGAAGTTTTAAACTATCTTGTCTTAAGGGTGAAATGTGTTTCTTTTTAAAGAGATCGAGCCACAGCCGAAGAATGTCTAAAACATCCGTGGTTGACAGAGAGCAGTATTCAGGATCCTTCTTTCAAGGTGAAAGGGGCATTAGAAGAAGCAAATGCGCTCCAAGAAGGTGATTCTGTGCCTGAAATTAATTCAGATACTCAGAAACCAGAAACCGAGGAATCAGTTGTAACAGAGGAGTTAATTGTATTTACTTCATATACTTTAGGACAATGCAGACAGTCTGAAAAAGAGAAAATGGAGCAAAAGGCCATTTCCAAACGATTTAAATTTGAGGAACCTTTGCTACAAGAAATTCCAGGAGAATTTATCTACTGAGCAGTACTTCCCTTTAGAACTTTAAGATTTCTACATTGAAACCATTATTATTATTTATGGACTTCTGGCCAAATGGTACATGTACTGAAAGTGGATAAACCAGGTATCACTGATAGAAACTCAAATAACTTTGTCAAACTTGTGGAGTTAGATATATCAAGACAGATTTATAAAGCTGCCAACCAGGAGTTTTAACGGGTAAAGTTTTATCTGTGTCAATGTTATTTTTTTAAGAAGGGAGATGTTTGAACCTTTTGTTTCTAAATCTTGTTTCTCCAGAATGAGAATTTGTTATGCAAAGATACCTGTATTTACTTTCTTTAAAAATCTAAGTAAAAGTGCCAAATTAACATCTTTGTAAATCTATTTTGCAGTATTCATGTGTATCTGTATCTGCATATTTGTATGTTGATATCTTTGCTAAAACTGATACCTTTTCACTTTGGATTTTTTGAGGGGAGTAAGCTTTTTAATTAGGTATCTTCCAAATTTTGAGTCCTAGAATAACATCCGCTAGAGTTTGATAATGTCTTATTTTTATATTTTATTACTGCTTTATATTGACTTGATTTGACTTCTGTCGTCCTTGTTTTTGCCTAATGCTTGTAACCTATCAGTGAAAAGCCCTGGCTAATTTCTTTTTTCTTCAGTGTCACTAGTAAGAGTGGTGTTGATTTTTCACCTCAAACTATTCTGGTTTTAAGGTCAAGGTTAACCCAAGTGCTGACCTCTCGCCGTTTCCCTCAGCACGCCTTACCCGTCTGCGTGCTCTCAGGAGACGGACCCATGCCACCTTCTCACGTGCTTGTCACCTAATTTGGGTCACTTGCAAGTGTCAGTGTGATCTGATCAACATGGTGGTTGCTTTGGTCAGTGAAGGACGCTGTTGCATTGTTTTTGTTAATAAAACCCCCCAGAGAGGGTAAGAGGTGGAGCATCTTCGTCCTAGCCATTGAGCCTCCACTTCTGTGGAGTTTATGTGCCCTCAGACTATACTGGGAAACGTTATAAAAAGCCACAATATTTATAAACTTTGTTTTGTTCATAAAAAATTGGACCTTGGATACTTTGTCATCAGGGGAGCAGCCACGTTCCCAGAAGACTTACAAGAATTTAAGTTGATTAGGATGTATGTAGGCCCCACAGTGAACAATACATTCCTATTAAACAGTGGAAACGTACAAGTGTACGCCGTGTAACTTAAACAACTAAATATCCTTCTCACACGAAAACGTCTGAGTAGTGTCCTTATTTACCTTTTATTAGGCTCGGGGCGTTAAGGCACTTGTGAATACAGTGGGTCTGTCCCCCGAGCGGGGGCTCTCGGGGGCTCACGCGATGCGCTCTGCCGCGTGAGTTCTCAGATGCCAAGAGCCGTGACCGGGACAGCCCCTGACCACCTGCTGTGGCGCGTGAGCCGTGTAGTGTGTGGGACCCTGACCCCCCTGGTCTGTCATCAGCCCCAGCCTTGCCCTGCGGGGGTTGGAGCCCCGATGGCGTGCACGCATCACCAGCTGAACCTGATGAGGCAGCTCCAGACGTCAGTTCGCTTCGTTTGTACAGTTTCTTGGAAACCAGCATTTCCAACCAAGCTGTAGACGGAAGAAGAGGAAATTCTGCCACAGTGGCAGGGTTTTCTGTGAAAAACCCAGGACCACTATGTTAAGCCTCAGGTAAGTCTTGGAAGAGTTGAGTGAAACACAAGTTTAGGCACCTTTTTGTAAACATCTCTCCGGCAAAAATAGGAGGGGGGGTGAGAAAAAAAAATACCCACTCTCGAGTGACACACTTTCACACTCGATAGATTTGTCGCATTTTAAAATCAGAATCATTTAGATAACATTTAGATTTTTTTGTAAGCCATTTTATATTACACTCAAAATAAATACCTTTGATATAGTTGCTGTATTTGTTTAAAAAAAAAAAGACCTCTTTTCTCGTAGCTGGCCGCTTTGCCGTCTACGGTTCGCTGCTTCTCCTGAGCGGCTTTTGTAAGCGCCTGTAAAGGTCTACGGACATCTTCTGACTCAGATGATGTAAGTAGAGCATGAAGAGCCTTCACAGAATTGGGCCAAATAAAGTCTGTCCAGTAATGACTTACCCAGTAGCCCTGTACTTACCTAATGCTGCTCACGTTTTCTTTTAACAAGTTTACAAAGACCCAAGCCAGTATTATTGAATTTGCTCATAGAATTTATAAGCCCATGTTGAATAATAATAAAATTCAACATTGTCGTATTTTAACCTGATGAGAAGTTTATGAAACATGCAAAGTGTATTAGTGGTTTTAGTCAGTTGGTCAGAAATGGTGTTTTAATGTTTTGTTGTTCTCACATGAAAAGTAGGAGAAAACGCCACACCCTCGTAGTTACAGGGGAAGGTTGGGTGCTAATTAAGAGATACCGCAAACTCCCAAACTTTTACAAGTGAACTCAGTTGGGAAGAAAATTTAATAGAGAAGGTTGGGTGCTAATTAAGAGATACCGCAAACTCCCAAACTTTTACAAGTGACCTCAGTTGGGAAGAAAATTGAATAGAGAGGACGTCATAAAGGTTGAGTTACAGTCCTAGTAACGTAACGCCTGGTGTATGTATGGTAGCTCAGTCCACGATTAGCACGATCGATCTTGGCACCAACGTAGACCGTTTTACGTAGGGGTAAAGGTCTTCGGCCAGCGTATTAACAAACTCATCCTAAATACATTTTAAACTCACACACACTTGTAAGAATTTAAATTGGATTGATGAAACTAGTCAAAATTGTTCAAGGTCCTTTACCACCTAGTACCTTCATTTAGTTGCAGAATTTAAAAACTAGGTTAAAAACCTTCATCTTAACCTCAGGAGCCTTAATCTCCAACTACTGTTTTTGTTGTGCGAGGCGGGGATATAATTTGCAGAGAGGAAAACGTGCAGACCTACATCCACACTGGACAGCGTCGGGCGGGTGCACGCACCCTGTTAACTCGGCTCCGTTGTTAAGAGTTTGTCTTGTCCTTAGCATGATCCTTTTGAGACTCACCCATGTTGGGGCTTCTGTGGGTAGTTTGTGCCTTTTTATTGCAGGGCCGTACTCTGTACATAGCAGTTTATGTGTCCGTGTCTCTGTCCGAGGAGCCCTGGGCTGTTTCGGGTTTGGGCTGTTGTGAATGCAGCTGCTTTAGATACTCTTGTCCAAGAATTTTTGTGGACACACTGTCATTTCTCTCAGATTCAATGAGTAGAAGGCTGGGTCATAATGGGATAGATGGGTACCGAACTTTGTAAGAAACCCCCCAATGTTTTCCTAAGTGACTGCACCATTTTCCATCCCTGCCAGCAATGCCGGAGTTCCGCCTGGCCGTCTGATTCATGGTAGCCGCTCTCGTGGGCGTGCGCTGGCTTAACCTGCATTTCCCTGCTGACTAATGAGGAACACTACCTCGTGTGCTTGTTGAACCATTCTTTTGATAGTCCTTTATATAGTCTGGATAAAAGTCCTCTGTCAGATTTATGTATGAAATATTTTCTCCCACTCTGGCTTATCTATTTTCTCCATAGTGCCTTTTGAGCAGAAGGTGGTTTTCATTTTGGTGAAGTTCAATTTATCAGTTTTTGCTTTCTGTATCTTCTTTTAAGAAGTCCTTTCCTACCCCAAGTCATGAAGATATCTTTTTTTCTTTTTTTAACCTTCTAGTTTTAGCTTTTATGCTTAGGTCTGTGATCCACTGTGAATTACTGTTTGCCTGGGGGAGGTTAGGAAGGGACCAAGTATCTTTGTTTTCCATAAGAATATTCAGTTGTTCCAGCACCATTCGTCAGATTTTCCTTTCCCCATTAAATTATTTTGCTGTTTTTATAAAGTAAAGTCATTTCTGTGGACCTACTTCTGGACATTCTTCTGTTCCATTAATCTGTTTGCTTATACGTTTGTCAGAGCTTTGCCTTGATGTGACATAAAATAGGACTTCCAATTCCTTCTTTTTCAAGATTGTTGTTTATTCTAGGTCCTTTGCATTTCGAGGTAAATTTTCGAATTGGCTTGCCGATTTTTTTTTTTTTTTAAGATTTTATTTACTAGAGAGAGAGCGCACAAAGGGAGAGGGAGAAACAGACTTCCTGCTGAGCAGGGAGCCCGATGCGGGACTCGATCCCAGAACCCCAGGATCATGACCTGAGCCGAAGGCAAGACGCTTAACCAACTGAGCCACCCAGGCGCCTGGCTTGGCAATTTCTACCAAAATTACTCCCTAAAAAAGCCTCATGGGATTTTGACTTGAGATTTCTTAAATCTGTAGAATTTAACATTTTAACAGAGTCTTCCAAATCTATGAACATAGTGTTTCCATTTATTTCATTTTTTCCCAGCATCGTTTTATATATTGTAATGTAGAGATCTTGCACATCCTGTTAATTTTATCCCTGTGCGCTTTGTTGCTGGATGCTACTGTTCTGGATACTCTTTTTTCAGGAGAGGGGAGGCTGATACTTAATCTTCCAATGGTCATTTTTAGCTCATTGTGCTTAGACCAATGTTAGAAATTACTTAAAAAAATTTTTTGAAAAGAGATGAGGTAATGGGGTCTCAGGAAGAACGTGATTTGCCCAAAATGTTACAGCTACAGGCAGAACAAAGGCTAGAATCACTGAGCTTTCCTGCTAGTGAAGGGCTTTTACCTCAGTGGATTCTACCTTTGGCTATGTTTTAGTTCATGTCCCTAACAACAATTTTTAACAATTATTTTTGTGTCACCTGGCTTTGGATAGTTTTTTCTAAAGAACCGGAGGATGCGTCACCTGAGATTAGCCAGTGCGAGGTGAGCATACTGTGGCCCTTGTGGCCTGTTTGTTACTTGAAGTTTACTGGAACACAGCCGTGCCCATTCACTGCTATTTGGCTGTGGCTACTTTCAAACTGCAACTGCAGGGTGGAGTCGTTGCGACAGAGACCTTATGACCTACACAGTCCACAGCAGTTACTCCTGGGCCCTTTACAGAAACCGTCTGCCAACCCCGGGCTGTTGTAATCTAAACATAGTTGAAATACGGGATGTTTCCTTTTTTAAACTGATACTGATACAGTCCTTTGGGGAGCAGTTTATGTTACATGGCAGAATAATCTCACAACTCTGGTTCCATTCCTTCTCATACATTTTATTAAGATACAGGTTTTATTTACTAAAAGTACACTATTTTTCCTAAATACATTAGCAGTATTTTAACGATTTTTTACCTAAGAATACTCTTAATTTCAATACACTATGATGGGTTTTCACTACAGTTAGTATCTCTTTAGTTATCTCCATTATTAAAATAACCAGCTTTCTAATAAATTGTGACAGAAATGTACCCAGTAGAAAAATAAATGAAGATATTTGAGAAGATACAGGTTTAATCCTCTGAGAGCTGGAGATTATTCAGGATGGGAGGATTATTACCTCATCCCTGCCCCTTTCAAAGCAGCATGTTCAATGTCCTTATCCTACACCTCTAAAAACTTCTTATTTTGAAATACTTACATATTTTCAGGTGTCACTGAACCAACAGGAGTTCACCCCGTGGTGAGTCAGAACCCGTCCCAGGTTGAGTTGTCACACAAAGAAGCCTTTATTTGGAGCAACTGAGAACATGGAGAATGGCTCCCAAAGCCGTGACTTCCCCAAGAGAGGGTGGATGGGTTCTTGTGGTCTAGGGTTAGGACGGATACTTAGATAGGGAGGCCTTGTCACCCTACGTAGAGGCGGGCACAAGGTCGTGCGCGTGCCTTAAGGAAACATGCCTACACATACATTGTAAGTTATGTAAATGAGGCCGAGTCTTCTCCTTGGAAGGAGATTTTAGTATTATAATGAGGTAAAGGTAATAGGTCATTCCAGAGGTCACTGCACGGTCCATCTGCTCAAGTACGAGCCAGGTTTAGCTCAAATAGTCTGGGTGGTCAGGGCGGGTCGGAGATTATGTCCAGGCAGCCCCCATCACCTGGGGGGTGCTCCCGGGTTTCATTTGCGTGAGTTAAGGGCAAAGCTGGAAAGAAGAGCTTGGGCAGAGATGTAAGGAAAACGCTAGCAGGTACAAGCTGTGGGCAGTAAAGACCAGGTCTTGGGGTCTCTAGCTGGTGACACAGGGACGTGGAAAGATAGTACAGTATATCTCAGGTAACTATAATACAATATCAAAACTGGGAAGTTGACAGTGGTACAATGTGTGTGTCTGGTTCTGTGCCATTTTATCGTGTGTAGATTCCTGTAACCAC